GCAATGTACAAAAGATGGGGTCTTATAGACATTTCATCGAACGGTTAGAAGGCAAAAAAAAATTAGACCGTTTATGTGGGAAGCATCATCATCAATCGGCGACAGAGGGTTATTGATCACAGTAACGGATCAAAATCCTTTGTTATCGATACTTCCAGACATTGGTGTAGCTAATTGACACGAATTGGATTAGTTAATTGGGTTGTAAACTAAGATCTTATATAAATTGTAAATAAAAGTTTGTACCTTTTGATGGAGGCGGCAAATCTGAGTTTGATGGGAAGTGGATGACTACTCGACGAATGTGATTTTGGACAAGCAAAAAGGAGTTGTTGCATCTACGATTATTGTATTATATAGACAAATTGATTGTTGTGCGTGAATACCCTATTTGAATTTGGTTAATGTTTCTGGCAACGAAGGGGAAGAACTGGTGACGATCTGTGGTTTTTTGTAGGGTTTTAAAAGTGATTGCAATTTTATAGGGATTTGATTTTATTTTATTTTTGAAATTTATTTAATATACATGCAACATTACTAATTTACCTTTATTGATTTATTTAAAAATTTAATTTATGCTAAATTCTGATTGGTGCATATGTGCACACAATACTTGTTGGAAACATTTGAACCTAAGACGTTGTTTGGTTCCCATAATGGTTTCGAAGGAATTGGAATCTGTTAAGGAATTGGAATTTGTCTTGATTTGGAATCAAATTCAATATTCTGTTTGGTTAGCAGTAAATGGAATTTAAACCCAATTTTATATTTTGTTTGTTTGGCAGAAATGGAATTGGAATAGTATAAAATGACACAACCACCCTTCTTGGTTTTTGCTAATTTTTACTTTGTCTTATAATTATATGTAAATATATATTATGTAAATTATAAAAAATAGTAAACGATGTTGGTGGCGGCGGCGATGGTGGTAGAAGCAATGGTGGTGGTAATGGTGGCAGTGTGTGGTGGTGATGAAGGTGGACGTGGTGGTAGTAGTGGCATCACTAGTGTTGATGGTAGAGGCAGACGTGGTTGTGGTGGTGGGTGTTAGTGGCGGCAGTGGTGGTGGTGGATGTCAGTGATGGTGGGTGCGGGTGGCGACGATGGTAGTGGTGGTAATGATAGGGTTAGTAGTAACAACGACAGTGGTAGGGTGGTGGTGTAGGTGGTAACGGAGGTTATGGGTGGTGGTGGTGGTGGTAGTGGTGTCGGCGATGGTAATGATGCTGGTGGTGGTAATGGAAGTGGTGTTAGTGGTGGGTAGTAGTGGCGACGACATCAATGGTGATGGTTAGTGATGTTGGTGGTGGTGGTGGGTGGGTGGTCAAGATGGTGGTGGTAGGTGGTAGTGGAGGTGGTGGATAGCAGTAGAGATAGTGGGTAGTGGTGGTGAAGGTTGTGGTGGAGGCGGTTTAAGAGTAGTGACATAGATTTTTCATATTTAATGTTAAAAATGAAAAGAGTAATATGGTAATCTTCAACATTCCCACTTAAAGGAATTTGAATTTCCTTATCTTTTAGATGAAATTTATTTTCCCTCAATGGGAGGAAAGTTGAACACATGTAGGAATCAAATTCCTTCTTAAAACTTGAACCAAACATTTGAAAGTGATGGAATTAAATTCCAATTCCTTCTGATTTCTTCCAATTTCAGCGAACCAAACAACCCCTAACTCTCTCTCTCTCTCTCTCTCTCTCTCTATATATATATATATATATATATATATATATATATATATATAATTTTAGTTTGTTTGGTGATTATGATTTATAAGCTTTGTTATTAGCATTTACCAAATTAGTAAAGTTTATCGTTTTAAACTTATATTGTCGTGTCCAATTTTCCTCCATCGCTTTAACTTATAAACTGGTGATAGAGATTAACGAAATCATTTTGGACTGAGTTTTCTATCTCAACCATTACAAATTGTTATTCACAAAACCCCCCATTGAAGTTTCACAAAGCTCAAGAACTTGAAAATCGTCATACGTAATATCCCTATATTGTTGGTGTATAACAATAGCAACATGTACCAACCAAACTTATTGGTAGCCAAACAAGTTGGTACCAATTATACCAGTGGCGGAGGCTCATGGAGGCCAGGAGGGGCCTTGGCCCCCCTGCTTTTTTGGTTTCTAATACCTTTGAATATGTTTATTTATTAATTCTAATCAATTCAATGTCTAATTACCCTTCCAATTTTAAGTTTAGTAGCGTGGGTTGAAGATAGGAAATTACAACCAAAAGTCAAAAACTCACACACAGGATCAAAATTAACCTTCTTTCGTTAGGAAATTAAGTAAAAAAACTATATAAAAAACAAATATCTAATCTCTTTTACCATTTTTTACATAATCTTAAGAAAGCAGTAAACCCTACAAACTTATTGTCGCCGCCGGAAAAGAAATTATCAAACCTCACCAAAAGAGTAACACCATCGCCGGACTAGCTCGTCTTCTCCGTGAACTCTTTGTCTCCCCTCCACCGGTCGCCACAGTGATCTCCTCCGTATACTCTCCCTCATCTCCGAGCGGTCGCCGGAGTACTCAACACTAAACCTTGTCGTGTGCTCCGCCTATTGCAACTTTCTCTAGTGTCTGCTCCACCTAACTAAACTAAGCTGTATGTAGTATCTTCCCTCTCTTTTTCTCTTCCTTTCTCTCTATCACAATAAATAAATAAATTATTGTATATAGTCATCTAGTAAGTGATATGAAAAGACTAACATAATAGATGATGATATGAAAAGAAAAACTAAACTATAAATCTGCAAGACATTAAGCAAAAGATAGATATCACCTTTTCTTTATTTTTAAAAGTTTGATAACAATAAAAAATATCACTTAAATGTATATTTATAATTTGTGAATGAGAATGAAATAACTATTATGTATTTTGCTTTATTAATACCAAATTCACAGGAAGTTAATTATGCAGTGACTGTAGATTGATATTTTTGATTTTAGATGAATTTTATATTGTTTTTTAAATAAAAATTTCTATGTTGGTTTTCATCCAGAGTATTCAGTTTTTTTTGTTTGTTAAACTACATACGTTATTTGTTATTTTATAAAATTTAAGTTAGTTTTTATCAAACTATACATGTTATTTGATATTTTATTTTGTTGTTTGTTAATTATTAGTTAACTTTGCAATCAAGTATTATTCAACAACTTCAAAAAATAATTATTGTTATGGGTTTTTAGGAAGAAAACCTCAAAAAACTACTCACAAATGTTTTGGTTGAAAATTTTACAGTGTTTCTGAGAAAAAATCTGAAAATATTCATCTTGAATTGTTGTAGTTTTAAATCAAATTAAATTTGTTTATGTAGTTATGTTTTGAAGCGTTTGATTTCAACCCCCCTACTTTTAATGTTCGTGTTCCGCTCCTGAAATATACTTGGTATGGTAGCGGTAGAAATTTTCTTACCAACTATAATTGATACAGTACACGAATTATTGAAAAAATAAATTGGTACCTACCGATTCTACTCGTAGCCACCACCACAAACACCAACCATTACCACTACCACTGTCTTTTTTTATGAGGACTCTAAAAAACAATCAATTTTTTTTAATGAAGACTAAAGACATGAAAAAAATTTTCATTAAAAAAAATTGGTCCATATTTTATTTTATAGACATGGAAAAAGACCGAAGACGTTTTAACTCTTAAAAGAAAACACCTCCTTAATGTCTAACTATTGTGTGGCATGCAAACAACTTCAAATGGCATCATTGCAGCAGGAATTGTTGCGACTCTAAAAAAATGTGTCATAAATTTTATTTCGCAAATTCTCATCGTAATTCCCAAAGGTTATAAGAAAACTATGAAAGATTTGTTGAAAGTACAAATTTCACCTAAATTATAAAAAATAAAAGAGTAATTGTAATAAAACTAGAAGAATATATCAGAAAAATAAATGTATGCAAGTTTATAAAGAATAAAATACCCATGAAATATGAGTTTCAACATTGTTTGCTGATTTTCGAAACTCTAATTACCACACGCACACTCAAGGTTTTAAATGGCGTGAGGCGTGATGTGACAGCAATACCAAACTTCAAGCTTAACGAGCCATGACAAGCCATGTGGTTTTTCAAAGCGTGATGTAAGACGGTGATGTTGTATTAATTTATAATTATATTACCACACAAATATAAATTTATATTAAATATAACTACTTTTTAGAAGTGTTATATCGATAGCTAATAACAAAAGGTTAACAAAAAACACAATACTTCTATCACCAATTAGAAAAGACATAACAAAGACAAAAAAATGTATCTCGAACGAAAAAACACGTGTCATAACACACCATAACGCGCCATGGCACGCCATATTACACATTGTCACGCACCACGCCTAACAACAACATTATGAGGCTTTTCGTAACGGCAAAGTCACACCTCACGCTTTGTCGCACCTTTTAGAACACTGCGCACACTATTTTAATCCAGTTAATACTATATTTTGTATCCTTATTAGTATTGTATAATGATTATAAACCGATGTAAGAAAGAAAAATCATGAAAAATAAGCGTTGAACTTGTTCATCGAGTTACACAATCCGTTCTCAACCTACATAAACTACACCACTTCATTTTATACTAAGTTTAGTGATGCTTGAATTGAATGACTTAGTACAAGCAACAAGAACACAAAAGGTAAAACATAATTCCAAAACTAGATTCTTTTATTTTTTTAAAAGACTTAATTTTCAACTAAAAAATGTTAGCAATTTGGTAACGAAGAAAAAACTTACAAAGAAAATGAAATAATTCGGTTTTTAACCACACAATTCAAATAGATTTAAAATCGACATTTCTATTAACAAACCATAGGTAAGAAAACTACATAATCAAGTATCTAATAGTTCTGACCGTTGCAAAGATGATATTGTTTTGATATTTCCAAATCATCACGTTTCTGAGACGATAACCGAGCCAAATCAATCAAAAATTAGATTCTTATTTAATAAATTGAAAAAAATGTCCCATAAACAATAAAAATGAAATACATATAAGGAGGAAAATATAAGCGTTCTTCCTTAACCCTTGGAGATCTTAATTGATTAGGATAAGATCCTCAATCAATTATCAAAATCAAATCTCAAAAAGTAAAGATATCGAAAATAAATAGAAAAACACATTTTTGCCCTAAATGATCCTGAAAGGCCGAAAAACACCACACGTCATGTGGTGTGTGAATTTCGTTCAACTTTACATCGTGTGCGAATTCCATCCAATTTCAAGCTTTTGAATCACTTCGGCAGATTTGTTGTTGATGTCATCATACTTTGATTCATACTAGTCAGCGTCAGACTATGTATCAACACTTGTATCACCTGCATGTTGTTTAGTATTATATAAAGTTTATATATATATATATATATATATATATATATATATATATATATATATATATATATATATATATATATATATATATATATATATATATATATATATATATAAGGAATTTGTTTCTTAATCCGAGATTTATTGATTAAGTTGTGGGAAACATTAAACCTATTGATATAAGAGCGATTTGACAAGGAAATTACTTGTCAAGCATGTGATAAGCTGCGAACTTTTGAGTATTTGGAGATTATGCTTGTTGCATAATTGGAGAGGATTCGGGTGAGACTTACGATAGATATTTAAAACCAGAGGACCATACTTTTTGGGTATTCAATACATGCAATTATTAACCGGATGTAAAATAAGTGATAATTAATAATTTCCCTAATGGTGGTCAAGTTATTAATTTAGTATTTTTGTTATTATCCAAATATTAATGTAAATTATACGGACATTAAGATCATATTTCATTCAAAAGATATTTATAATATATTGAACTTGGGCGACTTGTAAGTTTTTGAAACGAAAGTTTTATCGATTGATAAATAAAGGATAATGGGAAAAAGACATGTGTTGTCATGGTACAAAAAAAAAACATAGGATTTTAGGGTAGGACCACTTGCAAATATAACTTATTTATTTTTATTTTTTTGGTTTAACGATTAGTTTTTTTGAACCAAAAAAATCATTAGAATGAAAGTAATTTATATGACATTATAAGCGACAATTTGTTAATTTTATTGAGTCAATAACACATTTTTTTGATAAGTAAGAGACATATCGGATAAATCATAACTAAGTCATAGGCTTCTAAATATGATATCAAACATATAAAAAAAACACAAAAATTATGTTTCATTAGACATTTTTTAGTTTGTATTAAATGGTACTAGAAAAAAAGTGTCACACAAATAATAAAACGAAAGACACCATGCCAAAATGCTTACACCCGTTGCCGTTAATCATGTAACTTATAAATACTTTACATTGTGTCTTTTTTCAATTTTACCCAATCATACAATAATTTTATATTCATAATAATGATTGCAAGAAAATAAAATTTGGAATGTTTTGAATGGAAAAATCATTATTTTTTGGCTTTTGCATCTTTTAGATTGGTATAAATTTAACGGACAAAGAATGCTTCCAAGGATGTCCTTTTTGGTATCAAAAAGAAAACAAAAAACCAAGGTCAACTTTGTAATATTATGTGCCCTCTTGACTTTTCTCTTATATATTCTGATTCCAACAACCTCAATTTTTATTTGAAAATCCAGCTCTAATATTTTTAACAAAACCCATATTGAAAATTGTTAAGAGCCAAGGCTTAAATCGTAATTTTACAAAAACAAATGACCTACAATATATATATATATATATATATATATATATATATATATATATATATATATATATATATATATATATATATATAATTTAATAAAGTTTGGAGAATTGAAATTTAAGAAGGTAAAAATTGGCTATAAATTATCAAAAAAGTCGTCCTATTGCTTCAAAATTGGTCATCCTGCTAGCCTACCTAAAACCCATGTCGAACCTCCCTCCAAATTATGTAAAAAAAAAAAAAAAAAAAAAAAACTTTTACAGTGAAGATAAAAATAAATGAAAATTGATTTTTTTTTTTTTTTTAGAGAGAAAAAGTGAAGAGAGCTGGAAATAGCTGGAAAACCTACTCCTCCAAGAAGTGCTTCACGATCTTCATGCTTGGTTCCACCACCTGTTTTTCCCATATTTCCGCCACCCTTGCTCCGCCTCTCTCCGCCGTCATAACAGCCCTAAATGCCTCAGTGGCATCTATTCTCTTTAATTCCCAGCCGGCGTCCCTCAGCCGTAGGATCTTACTCACTTGCTTCTTCGCCAGTTGGCACGTGTTGTCCTTGATCCTTCTCACGGCTTCATCGTACGCCTCCTGCCCCATCACATCCTCCTCGAATACCGAGCCCTCCGTTCGCCGGAGCCCTGGAAAATTCGTGAAATACGTCTCGAACTCCGGTATTCCAATCGCCTGACCTAAACCACACCTGTTAACCCTCTTGTGCTCATCGGACCTGAAAAACTCTGAAAGCTCCTCGAACATACCGGAATCAAGCATCTCATCGACCCTTTTTGATAAATACTGATTTAAAACCGGTAAGCTAACATCCACCCAGATGAAACAGCATTCGTATCGGAAATCAGAGCTCACCGGCTGCGGCTCTGGTCCGTTGAAGACGTCCGATTTTGGGTCGTAACGTTTTGTAACCAGTGAGTATATTAACGAATTTGATCCTCCGACGACAAGAGGCAACCCCCGTCGAGTTCTAATCTGGTTGATGTATTCTGCCGCCACATTCCGGAAATCCGACGGAGTGAAAACCGATTTCCTTGGGTCAATCGCTCCCAGAAGGTGGTGGGGGACACCGCGTCGCTCTTGCATTGTGATTTTGTTTGTGGTGATATCAAGTCCGCTGTACACTTGCATTTTATCGGAGTTGATGATCTCAGAGTTATCAAAAAATCGAGTTGCGAGATCGATTGAAAGACGGGATTTACCTGCGCCGGTTGGCCCCATGATGACGACAATCTTTCGCTTTCGGCGACGACTGGATGGAGATATAGGTGATACGGCGGCGGCGACTGTGGAGGGTGATTCCATGTGGATTTGATTAACCCACGTGGAAGAAGAAGAAGAAGAAGAAGGGGTGGGTTGAAAGAAGGTGAGAAATGAAGAAAATAATTTGAAGCGATGATGATGGAAATTTGTTGAAAATGGTAGTCTCATAAGGAAATTTGTTTTGATGACGATGAAAATACAAAACTCACAACACAAGCAGAACGTACATACAAAATACATGAGAGAGGAGGAGGAGGAGAGAGAAAGAGAGAGAGAAAGAGAAGGCAGTTTTTAGGGGTGGGTTTGTTACATGTACAATATATTCAGAAATCAGAAATAGTCTCTGTTTCTCTCTCTCTCTCTCTCTATATATATATATATATATATATATATATATATATTCCGTGAGGATTTGGGATATAAAGAAGTAGTGGGTATGGATTCAGAAGCGATAAAACAGAGGATACATCATAATCATCTTCATCATTGTGGTAGCTTCTAAAATCTGTATGGAATGAGTTTGAATCTTGTGGATATTGATGGGATATGAATTAATGAATGTGGTGCAGAGGTGGGTGTGTGTGTGTGTGTCGGGATTTGGTGACACAGGATGATCGGAGAATGGAGGAGAAGGAGGGAAGTGTTGTTGGGACGTTGGGGTTAAGTTTTTGGGTTGGATTGAAGAATGTAAGAGTGATGGGCTTGTTTTAAACCCCTGATTGAAGAATGGAATGGAATGGAATGGAATGCCACCTCAAATTCAAATCAACTCACCTTTTCCTTTCAAACTGTAAGAAAAAACTGGTGAGAGGAATTGGTGGGCCACTTTTTGGAAAATGCATTTTGAATTGAGAATTGAGAATACATTTATACTTTTGCATTTTAAAATGATATTATTGTTAATAGAATTACATTTATGTTGCTCGACTCGGTGACGATTAAAATATATGGATATAAGTTATTAGAATTAATGTAACATAAATCTAGGTTTTTAAAAAAATCTGGATTTATTATTGTTTATTTAAAAAAGTTTATATTTTATATATAAATATCAATAATATTATAGTCCATGTGGAGACGCCTCTTTTTATTCATTGTAAAAACTTAATATGTGCAAGTATAATTTGATAGGACTATTTTATTTTATCTTATTTATCAAAATCTGCATAAAAGTTTTTATATTTTAGTTTTATTGACAAAAAATTCATTTTAGATTATCATTTCAAATTGGTAAACATTTACAAAAGAACTCTTGTATATAGGGGTGTTCGTTTGGATGGATCGGTTTGATTTGATCAAGTGAATCTAAATTAATTTCAGTTTTCAAAACATGGATCTGAATATTCCAAGCTAAATTCAAATCTGGTCTGATTCGATTCAATTACAATTCGGTTGGATCGGTTTTTCAAAAACCGAAACATTTTAAAACGATATATAATTATAATATTACCAAACTTTACACATGAAGCAAAAAACAAATTATTTAATTGTGATTTGAAATTATAACAACTAATAAGAAGATATATTATACTTAAATATTTTATAGATAGAAAATTTTTGAGAGAAAATGCATATTAATATTTTTTTATCGGATAAAACGTTTTGAACCTATTTGAAAAAATAAATTACAAAATTAATAAATAACTATAGATATATATAGGGCTGTAAACGAACAAAACGAACACGAACAAGGTCTTGTTTATGTTCGTTCGTTTAAGTTAGCAGAACAACAAACGAACACGAACGGATAAACGAACGAGATTTTCTTGTTCATGTTCGTTCATTTATGTTCGTGAACATGCTAAACGAACATAAATGAATAAAGATTAAAAAAACACAATTAAACATATATGAACATAAACGAACATATAATATAGCAATATAATAAAAAATAATTGAATATAGATGAATATAAATAAACTTAAACGAACGTAAATGAACATCGTAAACGAACGTTCACGAACATAAATGAACGAACGAGACCATTGTTCATGTTCGTTCATTTAACTAAACGAACGATAATTTTTGTTCATGTTCGTTCATTTATTAAATAAACGAACATAAACGAACTTCCCGCCGAACAGTTCACGAACGGTTCGCCGAACGTTCAGTTCGTTTACAGCCCTAGATATATATTATAAATAGATAAATAATAAATATTGATTCAGTTTTTTGGACTATTCGGCTCTTATTTTATAAACCAAAACCAAAGATTTTATATTTATCTTTTAAGGATAATTATTATCTTAATTATCTTGTAATTATATAATTTCCTTCTATAACTTCCTCAATTTTCGAATTAGGATTTCATAATAATTTAGTCTTAATGTGTGGATTTTAATCATTTAATGAACAATTAACAACTAATAATTATCCTATGATTCAAAAAAGACAAGTAAAGCATGAAATTAAAATCCCATTAGGTCACAACCACGTTGTAAAGGACTGACCACGTCTTTCTCAAGCAGATTATTGATTTTAGGTTTTGTTTCCAGTTGCGTAACATGCACTAATAATTGAAAATCATAGGGTCTAATACCACTAATGAATTTTCTAGATTGTAATAGAGAGATTTGCTCAACGGATTTTACTTATAAACTCTTAAGGGCGCATACAACCTAGAACTCCATTTTCACTACTATAGAAACAAACTTTATGAAACAACATATAACCTACTAAGATCGAAAAGTACAAGGGTTAGAATCGTACCTTTAGCAACAAACAATTAATATTACCAACACCCAAAACCCTAAGAAACCATATGATTGCTATTTAGGAAAGAGAAGAGAGGAGAAATTGGAATTCTTTTATAGGAGGCTAGAGGATCGGTTTCCAAAAGGGTTATGATCCTTTATATACCGCGCAGATAAGCTAGAAACTATAGATTTTAATATAAAAATAATAGTATTTTAATCTGATTAAAATCATATTTCTTTATCTGAACCAGGTGGCTTCCAGAACCCTTCTTAAGCTCCTTGGAACCGTCCAATGTTAGGAAGGATCTAGAATTTCCTTCATTGTTCAACTATTAAACAATTACAATTCAACTCTTGCACATTTTAATTAACCCAAAATTAATTCTAATTAATTATGATCAATTATTAATCAATAATTGACAATTTCAAATTAATATATTAATCACATAATTTATTAGTAAATCATTTATTTCTCTTTTAATATCAATCAAAGTTATTCCCCGGTTATAATGGCAACCTAAAAAAGAATTTAATTTTATTCTTTAAGACTGTAACAATTTTGTTATGACCTAAGATACTTAATCCAACAATCAAATTCAAATTTACTACAATACTATTCATGTATAAAATTCATAGCAAAAATAATTTAAAAAAAAAATAATGTTCTCACGTTTTCACTTTGTTTACCGTTTTAATTTGTACCAACCCATATATATATATATATATATATATATATATATATATATATATATATATATATATATATATATATATACAAATTAAAGCGCTAAATAAAATGAAAAAGTGAGAACAAATAAGTGAAAATACATCAAAATGCATAAAAAATACTTAGACATCATAAATCTTTTTTTTTTAGTTTATATACCAAAAAATCGCATGTTTTTGTAGAATTACACTGAAAAAAATCGATTTTGTTTTTCCAAAAAAATCAGCGAAAATACATAAAAAGCTGTGAAAATTCAAAATATAAAATAAAAAAAAGATTTGTGATGTCTAATTAATTTTTTATTTATTTTTATTATTCTTAAGGTTTCTTGTTTTTAATAGAACCTCAACTTATATATATATATATATATATATATATATATATATATATATATATATATATATATATATATAGAGAGAGAGAGAGAGAGAGAGCGAGAGAGAGAGAAAGCAAGGAAAGAATGATAGTTCGAATCTGTTGAAAACTCAAAATGCAGATTTTTAGATTTTTTACGGAAAACATGAATTTTTGAAAAAAAAATGAAATTTTTTTTCTTTTAAAAATTGCAATTTAAAAAAAAGACTGTCATTTTTTTTTCAAAAAAACTGTAATTTTTCTAAAGAAAACTGCATTTTTTTCAAAAAAAAATTGCAATTTTTCTAAAGAAAACTGCATTTTTTTTTTCAAAAAGAAAACTGCAATTTTTTTAAAAAAAATGTATTTTTAAATAGAAAAACAACAATTTTTTTTAAAAAAAAAACTGCATTTAAAAAAATAGTAAAGTTTTAGGTCCATATATGCATATTTTTTCGAATGCATGTATTTATATTTCTTATACTGTAATATTCGTGAGTACATCATAAAAAATCTCATTTTTATTAATCAATCTATAAACATAATAGTACAAGTATTTTATTCGGTACAAAATAAAATATAAAAAAATAAAAAATGCTACAAATTTCAAAACGTTTTCATGTTTTCGTTTCAATATTTCCTTATTTTTTTCAATTTATCATTTTCAACTCTTCAATATTCACCACAATTTCTTCCAAAATCTAAAAGAAAATTAAAAAAAAAATGATTGATGCAAAAACACTTACAAAAATACATATGTGATTAACATATGACTCACATGTGATTAACATATGACTCACATGCGATTCACATATGAATCACATGCGATTCACATATGAATCACATGCGATTCACATATAAATCACATGTGATTCACATATGAATCATATTTACGTATGACATTATGTGTAAATCACATGCGATTCACATATGAATCACATGTGATTTACATGTGAATCGCATGTGATTTATATGTGAATCATATGTGATTTACGTACGAATCACATGTGATTCATATGTGAATTACATGTGAATCACATGTAAATATGATTTACATGTGAATCATATGTGAGCAACTTGTGATTTACTAGTTAATCATATGTGAATTACATGTGTAATTGTGATTTACATGTGAATCACATGTGATTCATATGTGATTTACATGTGAATCACGTGTAATTGTGATTTAAGTGTGAATCACATGTGATTCATATGTGAATTACATGTGATTTACATGTGAATCACGTGTAATTGTGATTTACATG